ATATAAATATATATATATCTGTAAAATAGAAATTTTACCTTCCCTGTACTGTTAGAAGGGCTCTGATCCTGCAACAGGCATTCTCTGAGCTCTGAACACACTGATATCAGGTGCTTCCTTTGGTCTTTGAGTCATATACCATAAAAACTATAATGGAAACTTCATAATTAATTCATTAAATTTCAAAGGTGTTGTATTATCATTTTGTTGCTTTATTTACTAGAGGCACCACATCCTACTGATGGACTTAGGATGGAACATGACTATACTTCTATTCTCCCCCTTTAACACACAAGTCCATTTTACTAGACCATGTCACATAACTGTTGAGTAGTGTGACAGAGAGAGCAACCTGGTTTGTGGCTAACTTAATGTGAGCAGTGGTGATTAGCATAGTGGCAACGAAACTAGATTTTCCTGCAGTGTTTAACATCCCACTCAGTGTGGTGTGTTTTTCAATATTCAGTCCTAGAGATAAATGGATTTTTAGCCTTTTGGACAAGCAAAGGATTATTTGTGCACTTGAAATTATGACTTGCATATGTCTGTTCAGCATTTCTGCAGCATATTCTTTTCATTCACCAGTGGAAAAAAATCTGCCTAAACAGAAACTTAACCATCTCTCTATTCTCTCATTCCTTTATCTCTGATGTTCTTGGTGATTTACCCTTCACAGTTTTAATACTTGTCAATGTCCACATTTTTTGCAAAGGGCTAGTTAGAAGCAGTTGTCTTTAACAGTTGTTCATTTAAGACTTATTGACTGAATGAGCAACAAAAGCTGTAGGTAGGAGAGTCAACAGGCTTTTTTGATCTACCTGACCTATGAGACCAGGCTGACAAGTATCTTTCCCTGTATCCCTTTCCTGAGACAAATCTGTTTTGAAGATCCACTGTCTCATATGCATGCTGCAGATTGTAAAGCTTTTGCTTTGCATTACCCCAGCTGAACTTTCAAGCTTTGGAGATTTGTCTTTATGCAAATATCCTTAGGAGTAAAGTTACATGGGAGAAATATTAAAAACAAAGCTCCAGTAAAACTATTTTAAAAGCCTGTTGTTTTAGAGATAGGTCTAGATATGTCAGCTTAGCTATCCTGTCTCCTAGTTTATTCTTAGGGAGAGAATAGCTTTGATTTAGAAGCAATATAAGTCAGAATGGTATTGCAGAATGCTGTAGGTAAGGTATCTGCACTTGCTAAAATTTACAAAGTATTGGTGGTGTTGGAAGCATGAATGAACCTAGATGTGAGCTGAGGAGAGAACTGGCAGAGCTGTAGTCCTTGGTGTCTATTCCCAGCTTTGACTGGATGCAAGTACCCAGGCCTAAACGCTCTCAATGTACCCTTTCAGATCCTCTTGTCATGAGAAACTGGTGGTACAGCCCAGTTACAAAGGCAGAGCTCCTCCAACATAAAAGTACTGAATGAGGCGGCGTATATAGAGCCTGTTTGTCAGAAATAAATAGCTGTGCCATAAGGTTAAATCCCAGCAACAATGACTTTAAATGTTGCATTTTAGCATTGTACAGAGCAGTTGAGCCGTGGCCGTTTCCAAGTATACTTGCAATGTGTGCTAGAAGTGCACAAGTGATGAATGTCTTCACTTCCTGTCTTAATTCAGCCATTCAAATTGCACATTCAACTTGTGATTGTTGCCTCCTTCCCCCTCTTGCATGCATGGGTATGCATGCACATGTGTTCATGGGTGTACAGGTGCATTGTATGCTCATGTACGAGGTGCCTGTACCTGTAGGACTATTCCTTACTCTTTCTATTCCACTTTGGCGTTATCTGGGAGCAGGAGAGAATAGAATCTGCTCTTCAGCAGATGCAGATGCTTGGTTGCTAGGGAAGGGGAAAGTAGAATACATTTTCAGCATTTGAGATTTTCAACTACATCCAGAATTCACCAGCTCCTCCTCCTTAATGGCAGTTAAGAGCTGCAGGAGTATTAAGTCGTTGAACTGTCAGTGAGGCTGTTCTTTGACAGCTGACAGAGTGGAGGAATGAGGTTTATCCAGCCAGCCTTTTATTCTTTTTAAATCCCCTGTTTGAGTGTCTGTCAGGGTGAAGCGCCTATCTGGAGTGGTGCTGTCAAAGCGAAAACTCTTCTTAGCGGCCCTTCCCCTGTCCGCACATAAAACAAACCTGAAGTGATTTTCTAAGAACTAGAGTTTCTTGCAGGTTTTTCCTTCTTGCGTTCCTGTCTAGAGAAGAGTTTTTCTGCTTTCATAGTCTTTGTTGCTGTGAAAATAATAGTTGGTCTTGAATGCCTTCTTTTTTGGTGGGAAGGGGAGGCAAGGGGGAACGATAAGAGAATTGCAGAGTGTGAGCAATATATCATGAGGCCCTGGAGTAGACTAGTCTTTTGTGAGTGAGACAGGAAGAATAGTGTAGCTGTGGGATCTATGGGGGCTTTACACCAAAAGTGGGTTTTGGCCGCCATCTGTGCTTTGGTTGTAGCAGAATTTTGTGCATTTTCTTTTTATTCTGCCTTACTTATGCTGAAAATGTGCAGAAAGCTGCTCACGTTCACTGGTAGTAGGTACTATGCGCTTATGCAAGCAGTACTGTTACGCTTTTGTGTTACCTAATGCCGCAGAAACTCACCATTAGAATCACCAGATACTCTACTGTCTGGTGTGTATTGATGCCCTTGTTCTTGCTAGATGCAAGGACACTGCAAACATAACACTTAATTGTGAGAGATCTTTCCTGCAAGCTGACATAGCAGCAGCCAGCTTGCTGGATGCAATTGTTTTTATCCTTTGCATCTGAAGTCCAAAAGTGCATATGCACACACAGTTTGCACAGCAGTTCTATTAAGATGCTTTATTATCTTGGCTCATTGGTGAGCTAAGCCTAAATTTTAGCCTTGGATTGCCTTCCCTGTCCCAATTATAGCTTTGGTTAATTGTTTCTAGGAGGGCAAAATGCCAAGAAAAACATAAAGCAGGAAATAAATACAGAGCACTGAATACAGTTAGGATGTAAAAGCCATGTGATGAGTATTGGCCAAGCAGTTGGAAAGCGAGCCTCTTTTTCTGAATTATAGTAGACAGCAAGACAGAAAAATATCCTAATACTAGTAAATAAATATGTATTTCCTTTGTGAGGTTCTTGCTGTAATCTTTTTTCCTTTGCTATCTCTGTAGTCTGAGAGAAAATAGTCATGCGGCTCCCTTATCGCTTTTAGGCCTTGGACAGCCAGCTATTTCAGATTTAAATACAACAGTCTCATTCTTAACCCATGAATTTCAGGCACTCGTTTTTCAAGCATGAGCTATTCCAGCCTTATAGCTGTACAGCAGGTACTTCTCTATTCAGGCTGTGAAGCTTTTCTGATCTACACATCTTCGACCCTTAAACTTCTTATTATTTATTAACTTAGTATTTAGCATGCTGACCACTGAAATCTACTGTGCATTGCTGTTGGTGCTACCTGTGGCCAGTGACAATGGTGGTACTCATGTTCCCCGGTTTGAGTGTTCGGGGGTTTTTGGTGGTACTCATGTTCCCTGGTTTGAGTGTTTGGGGGGTTTTTTTGGGGGGCTTTTTTTGGTATTTAACATTCTTAAATTGTATTGTAGAGATATGACGGGATGGTTAAGTGTGGAAAAGGCAGCATCTCAGGATGGGAAATGAACTCTTATGGGATGTCTCAGGTTATTATCTAGCTTGGAGCTGATCAGTGTCCTGCTACAGGCTGCCCCAGGCATTTGAACAGGTGCACAAAGTGACTGGTTGCACAGAAACTGAACCTACATGATGAGTTCTTGGGGCCAGGCCTAAAGGAGGGAATTATTTTGTTTGACAAGATCTTAGTCCTGATTTTTCTGAAATGGTCTGAGTAGACATATGTGAAACAGGTGGTCTTGTTTGGAAGGCCTAGAGGTGCCTGTGTCAGACTGGTATAAGTCTGAGAACTGGAGTGCAAGGTCCCAGGTCTTGTAAGAAAAATGCATATCCTGGCACTTGGCTTCTAGATCAGGTGCTTTCACAGACTGGATGTCAGAAGTTGGCATATCTTTTAATAGTTTTTTTTCTCCTCTCTTCTGCTTGTAGCTTCTAACATTTCCTCTGGGTTTGTTCTCCTGCAGAGCCAGACTATGAGGTGTTCCTGAATGCTTCCAAAACACCCAAGTTTTCAGATGACCCCACAGAGCTCAATTGCAGGATCATAAATGCACAGGACACTGAAGCAAACATCCGCTTCTCAGTCTCTTGGTACTACAGGCAGCACCTGCGCAGCGACGATGTGGTGACAGAGGAACTCCTGGCCACGATGGATGCAGACTGGACTCTGCTACTTGGGGACAGAAGCAGAGAGAGGATTCAGAACGGGGAAATAATCTTCTCTAAAAAGTCTGTTGACATCTTCAGTTTACGAATCCAGTGGACTTCAGAAAGTGACAGAGGGGATTATTTCTGTGTCATCTCTGCATGGAGTAGGCACCGCAACAACAGCTGGGTAAAGAGCAAAGATGTGGCTTCTGCACCTGTCAGCATTTTCTGGGCTACACAAGGTAGGAACTTTGTACCTATTCACTGAAAGACCTCGCTGAATAAGAGTTTTCTCTTGAGTAGGCTTGTCAGCCAGAAGGCCTGAGAATGGGGGAATGGGGTTCTGTGCTAAGATGAAAAACACTATGACCTTGCGTAAATACCTCTTGTTTGTGGAGAGAAGTAGCTACTTAACAGTAGCTACTTCTTAACAGTACTTACCAGTTTTATGCAACAGTTTGGAGTGGAAGTCAAAAGAAGGGATACATTCATCAAACTGCTGAGACTTCCAAGAGCAGGGCTGGAAGTGTAAGGTGTGGCCTTCAGCAGTGTTGCTGTGGCCATTGCCTCTTTTCATGGCTCAGAGCCTTTTGGTCTCTCTAAGATGCATCTTGCTGCTAGCAGCAGGGTTGTATTGAAGTGAAAAGGTGGATGTCACTTGGTTTTACTGTTTGCCCGTTTGAGAGTTGTGGTTTTATTTTCTATCCTATAAGCCCCATGTATAGAAGGCACTTCTAAGGAAGTTCATGGGCATAGTACTATCAGAGTATCAAAAAATAATTGGATAGCAGAGCAAAGTAGTTCAGTGGTTTGCTTGGATCTGGGCCTTGTTTTAGGCAGAAATGAACTAGCTCTGGTCAGTATTTAAACTGACCCTGAAAGCATGTTTTAGAAGCTTAATAGTTACCTGAATTGCTTAACTCTGGTTTAAAATGAGTCTGTGTATCCTGGATGTCCTGTAGAGTGGTACTGCTTTGGCTCAGGTGTGAAGTCATGCAAGAGGGCCTCTTGGATAGGATCAGAAAGACTAGGATAATCTAGAATGTAACATTTTTCTTCTATATCTGTGCTTAGCTAAGCTACATTTGTCTTGATAGATTTGTTTAACAGTCTAGCTTAAGCATTCACAGGCAGAGAACTATTTCAGAGACAAGCAGTTTTAAATAATTTTAAAGTTGTTTAGGGGTAATCCCTGAACAGAAAACTGGAGAGTTTCTGCTGTGATTCTGCTTCACTGGAGAGAGAATTGGTGGTACTTGCTCAGTACTCCATCCCCAGACCAAGCGTGTGGTCCAGGGAAAGGTTATTTATTTATTTATTTCTGCTGAAGCTGGCTTTTCCAGCAGGAAAGAGATCTAGGAATGAGATCTCTCATTAATGCTGAATGTGGTCACAATTAGTTCAGTGTAGTCACAATTACTTCAGTGTTATGCCACAACACGAGTGTGTGTGTGTATGTGCATGCATGTGTAATGGATCATTGCCTTCGGAGCAGCTAGAGAGACCAGCTGGAGTTGAAAAGTCTCAGCCTGTGTTGACATTGCTGAGGGAAAACAAACCGTGACAGGTGTGAACATTCCCTTGTTTCTGGTTTTATTCCAAAAACTCTGGTAATTTTGCAGCACAAATATAAATGTTATAGTCCCCATGCTAAAAAGTATGTTTTGTTGGCAAAACTTGGAGTTGGGGGATTTATTATGTGAAAGTGAACTCTCCTGCAAAAACCTCCTCCTGAGAAAACACGTTATATGGGATGGGGAGGGCAATATGTAGGTTTGATTTCCCCTTCTTCCCTTCAACCCCTCCCTCACTGTAGCCCCAGATGCCCTTCTTTGTATGCCCTGTCCCCTGCCATATCCTATCCGTGTGAGCTCAGACTCGGCTCTGAGCCCAGTGTTGTAGCCAGCAACTCTGAAGGAGTTAATCTGCTGCTGCCTCTGCTCTCTGACTGTTGTTTTGACAAGTATCTCTGGTGATTTGAGTCCCTAACTGCTCCCAGTGCTTATAAAAGCCAGCAGCCTGGCTCTCACGTGTTTGCCTAAGGAGAGAACAGAAATTTACCTCTTCCTTGGATAGCTTGTGCCTGCATAGGGGTTTTTCTTCGAACTATGTCATTACCTGCATCTTCTGTATTAACTTTAGAGCAGTGCTCAGGGGGGAGGACTTGGAGAAATTCCACTTTGAAAAAGGTTGTTCTGAGTTCTTGAGAAAGGAGAAATGGTTTTGTGTTGTGTCTGTGGGTCAGTCAGCACAGAGGGGTGTACAAGGATGAGGAAGCTTTTGCTTCAAATGTAAACATCATGTGAAGATGTCAAAAAATCCTTTTTAATGTGTTGTACAACAAGTTGTTTGTTTGTGTGTTCTAACTGATGTTTTATCGTTGTTTTCTATTTTCTTCTTTAGGGACCAATAACACTCTCAGGTCTTTCTGCTTACTCAGCTTTGGAAATGCAGCCAATTGCTATCATAGATCACAGTTGTTTTTGACATAGTCTGCCTGATATGTTTCTTCCCCTCTTCTACCTTCTCCCCTGCCAAGATAACAAAGAAAGGATCTCTAGCCCGTCTCAAAAATGAAAAACATCAGTTGTATTGTTATTTTTTTGCTTAGAGTACAAATTTCGATTAGTAAAATGGGGTAAAGGAAGAGAGGAACCTTTTTTTGCCTGGCTCTGTAAATGATTTTCAACCCAGAAAAAAGTTTGATAGTATAAACGATATTATTATTTATTCACTTGAGCATGAGTGCTGCCTACATTTAGAACACAGTTGCTGTTTGCAGTGGAATGTGGAATCAATGCTTTTTTCTTAAACCAGTGTTGCCAACTTTGGATCTGCTGGAGTACTTTGCAAAAGAGAACATTATCTTCTAATTAAAATTCAAAATCCCAAAGGTACTATTATTTGGGGTTTTGTTAATACTTCTGTCTTTAATTTAAGAAATAATTATATTTAGCACAATGTTACTTGTCCTAAATGGTTGCCCAGGCCCTCCTATCACGCTTAATTGGGAGCAAGGGCATCTTAATCTTTCAGACAGTCCCGTGAATTATTACTGCTGACAGATAGTAGACACTGTGTAATACAGACATGCAGTTCCTCCGCAGCAAAGAAATTCCTATTCCCATGGCACCAAGCTGCTAGGTGTATGTGCTGGTTTGGGTGTAGGAACAAGAAAGTGCCTTAAGTTAGGTGTAGCAGCCCCAGTCAGGGCTGGCTGGGCTCCTTGTGCCCATGGCTGTGTGAGGGTGCAGTGTTTGTGTCCTTGGCTTGGCAGGGGGCCAGGCCAGTGAGGGGGGGCTAGTGGTGTGTGCAGCTCTGGTGAGAGCCCTGTGTTGTGCGTACGTGCTAAAGTCTGTAATGCAGTCTTCAGTGTGCCTGTCGTACTTCCAGCACTCTTGGTATCAGAGCTGCTGGGGCTACAATTGTACCTCAGGGTGTTGTATAACCACCTTCTCCTAGGAAGGCAAAGCTGTCATTACCTTAATGTCTGTTGCATTCTCTGTACTTGCAATCTAGTTAGTGCACTGGGGGATGAAGAAGCCTTTATGAATATTGAGATGGTGTTACTTGAGGCTGCTGACGAGACATTAGGCTCTGAGTTTACTGTTAGCTGTGGCCATCATGCTGCTTTTCCAACCGGAATCAGTGGAGTGCAGGGAAGGTGTTTGTTGTTTTCTAAAGTCTCCTTGCCCTTGGAGCTGTTAGGCTTTTCTAGCAATTTGGCTGGCTTAGATTAAGTGAAAGCTCTTTCTGGTCTTTATCCAGGAAGTTCTCTTGAAGCTGAGCAAGCACTTTGTGGTAGAGAGCAACCGGAGAATTACAGTGTGGCTTAACCACTTGGACTGGCCAGTTAGGAAAGGCAGAAGCTTGCACTGCCAGGCTCCAAAGTATAGTTTACTCAAATTTTATTTGAATCATTTGGCTAGGATTTCTTCTGCTGGTAGTCCTCTGTCTTGGAATAGTGCCCAAACTGGTTGTAAGCTTTTGGGTATGGCTTACTTAGGATCTCTTCCCCTACCACTTTCCAACATAAACTCTGCAGATTGCAGCCTCCTGTAAATGACTGATCTGGGTGTGTTTTATTGTGCTTCTCATTGATGGAGCTTTACAAGGAGATGAGACTCCATGTGGGATTGCAGGCATAGGTGCAGAGGGGCAAGTGTGCAGAGTAGTGCTCAAAACAGACATTGCTCCCTTGGCAAATCTCAGAAGATTAGACATGAAATCTTGGGCTGTGGTCTTGGAAAAAAATGTTCATTTGAACTCTCTGGCCCATCTTATGCTATAAGATCTAATGAGTAGTTTCTGTTAGCATAGGAAACATGAAGAAACTTTCCCTTCCCACTTAACTTTATGCGCAGGTTACTGCTATTTCTAAGCTATGTGCCAAATCTTTTGTCTGCCCTCTTCCTCATAATGTGCTCTCTTACACAGCGAGACAACTACATGCTTCTCTAGGTGGGGGTGAAGGAGTGCTAATTACATTTCATCTGCTGCTACTGAAGGAGAACAATTTTGGCACAGAACCACACTGTTAAGAATGGTGATCAGGCTTTTGTAGTTGATAGGATATGATTCTTCTTTGTTGTTGTCATTTTACTGTACTGCATATACAGGTCTCTAATATTATTGAAGACTCAGGAATGTTCTTTTTATCTTGTTTTTGACTTTATTACAGTATGAAACATTCAGCACCTGTATGCACTGGTTTTTGTGTCTTCTTCTCTATTCTGGTCTGTATTTCTTATGGTTTAACATAAGCAGAGATGCCTCTGCCTTCTGTGTTCATCCAACCTAAGTATCTCTGAGATTTTTTAAAAGTAGAAAAATCCTTTGAAAGGATTGTTTTCTGATCAATATCCTAATTTCTAAACCTTTTGAATTCTACCACTGTTCTCCAGCTGCATCTCTGGGCCCCGGATGATCTCTTCCACAAACTCTACAGATGGTATTTCTGCTGCTGTTCCATGCTACCACCACTCCTTTCTCCTTTTCTTTTGCAGAAAGAGTTGGTAAAAGCATTTGCTATTGCCCTCAAATGGAAAGTCAAGAAAGGATGTCTAGGAACAAAATCTGCTCTGTCCTTGCAGGGGACAAGACACTCCCCTTTGTACTCCTGCCTGACTTATGGCTCAGGGAGTAGTTGAAATAAAGTATTTGGAGTCCAGATAGTAGGAAGAGTTATGTCAGTTGTATCCATACTGCTCTGAAGATGGTGAAGGTATTTTGTCTTAAGCACATATATGGGAGATCAAATGCAAGATTTCTTTTCCAATGTCTAGGATTCAGCGCTCCAACACGAAGGCCAACAATGTAAAGAACGTTTACATCAGAAGGGATTTTTGCCTAGAGCCTCCTCATAAAGCCTGGAAAGCAACAATATGTGGCAGAAAAGCATGACTAGCTGTTTGTACTTCTGCTTTGGGGGCAAAATATAATTGTCTACTCTATTCTTATAGTATGTGAAGCTGATCTGTGCTGGGCTCCTAAATGCTGCAACCTTAGGAAGAGGGGAATATCAAAATCTCATGGATACAGAATGAGAAAAAAATTGAAGTCTAGAAACTGATACATGATAAGTCCTCTCACAAGGAAGTGGAGAATGACTCTGTACAACTTCAGTTGTGATGGTACCCTGAGTGCCTAAATGTGCAACTCTTGTATTGTCACTTGCTTGGTGGGTGGAAGTGTGAGGGGGGTTTCTTGTGGAATATCAAGTAATTCTGTGCTCAGCTGGACCACTAGAAGCATCTCGGCCTTTGCTGCTCCTGCTGTTTCTTTATGTAGCTTTGTACTGTGATCTGCTTTACACAGTATTGATTTAAAGTTGTCATACCGGGTTTCTCATCTTGTGGGCTGTGTTTACTCATTGTGAAAACTGCTGCTTGAAGGCAAAACACTGCAAAATGTAATCTTGACAAGTATCTTGTTGCTCTTGTGGGGAGGACATAAATATTACTGCATTTTAGTTCAGTTTCAGGAAATGTGTGACAATTTCACCATTGCTTATTTCCCTTTTCCTGAGAAGTTTCACCTTGCATAAAGGTGATCTGTGTAGTTTTTTAGCAGGTCTACACTTATTTTTTTATAAAGGGGTTCAGGGAGATTATGATGCAGCATATTAAGTCCAGACAGTCGGATTGGCTGTGTTTTAGCAATAGTACTACTTCTATGTATTCTGCCTTGCCTTCCTGCACCTTGTTGTGCAGGGTGTCTCTTCATCATAATGCCAGGAAACTAGTAACTCCCTTTCATCTGATTATGATTTCAGTCACTCCTCACTTTCTCAGTTTCTCACAGTGAGCTTGTACTTTGTGTGTCTTGGGGCTGTACTTCTAGATGTATAATTCTCCTAAACCCTGTAATTAAGGCATTCTTGGGATTGAGGAGCGAGCAGACTTGGAGAATGCTGAAGAAACTGAGCAGGAAACTGAGCAATAAGTGATGCTGCCATTCTTGATGTCAAATGGGCTGTTGGGAAATGTCAAGGCTTCTGGTAGGCTTGTACTTGGGTAAATGCATGAGAAGCAAGGGAAGACACAACTGACATGGAGACAGAGGTGTGCCTAAATCTTTCAACACAGAGGTGTGTATATGAGGGTGCTAGGGATGGAGACTTATCCTGTTACCACCAGCTTTTGTCACGCATTTTCAGCTATCTTGGGAGTTCAGCTGAATGTGTCTGGATTGCTGTTAGGGTGGGTTTTCAAGGGAAATAAAAGATGGTATGCTAAGTGCTGCCAATTCAGCTTTTGTCACTAGTCATGAGTACTTCAGCAGTGTCCTTGTACCCTGTCACTCAGATCCAGTGTAAAACTGGGACTCTGAATCTTGTCTGTTATTCCTGAACAAAACTATCGCAGAGGTCCTGTCATGCTATGACTGGTGTATTTCATTATCTGTTCAGTATTTGGTGTTCATTTGAATTCTTGCATCTTGACCCAAGCTGCGTACTGGTGTGTATGTGCACTGTTGAGTAGCATTCTCAGATGTCTGTATATGTTTAGATAAATGTGCTGGGATTTGTCTCTCAAAAAAACCACCTTTGACTGTTTGTAATCTTCTAGATTGAAAGGTGCTGCAGAAATATCTGTACCTATTTATTAACCCCTCTCTTGCTGCTTATTTCCTTCCCTCTTCAGATTACACCCTTACAGTGGAGGCAGTGAAACTGAAGCCATTCTTTGTAGCAGGCCACACCTTTGAGATGACATGCAAAGTTTCTTCAAAAAACATCAAGACGCCACGATATTCTGTCCTCATTACAGCTGAGAAGCCACTAACGGATCAGTCAAATCCCAATGGAACTACTCGCATAATCTCCTTGAACCAGGACTCAGTAGTGCGGCTGGAAGACTGGACGGACCAGACTCGTGTAGATGGTGTGGTTCTGGAGAAGGTCCAGGAGAATGAGTTCCGCTACAGGATGTATCAGACCCAGATTTCTGATGCTGGGCTGTATCGCTGTGTGGTGACTGCCTGGTCTCCAGGTGGTGGAGGCATGTGGCGTGAAGCAGTGAATGGTTTATCCAACCCTATCCAGATAGACTTCCAGACATCAGGTTGGTATAGAATCTGGCAGCTGTGTGTCTAAGCCAGAAAGAGACAGAGTTCTGTTACACTTTCCCATTGATTTCCCTGTCTCTCAGAAATACCTACTCTTTGGAACAAACGATGTGATGGCTGAGAGCTATGCTTGTCTCCTTTGGTGGTACTTGTGTCCTTTGTGCTATTGATTGTTTACAGAAAGATGTTTAATGAATTGGCTGTAATCATAACCCCTGGGTTTTTCTTTACTGATGCAGCTTTTATGGTCCTGCAGGCTCAGAGCTGGTTCTCGGTATGGAGCAGCTGCTGCTACATTTGCCAGCTGTAGCACTAGATTGCTGTTAGTAGTGGCTGCTCTGGAAGAACATTAATATAAACTGGGTTTCTCTTCCAAAACACTCTATTAGCATAGCATTAAAGTCCCTGAGCACACCTTGTTGTTGATGTAATTGCAGAAAATGCTCAGGTCAAAGTAATATTTCAGCCATCTCAGCAAGTGTATCCTGCCATTGAAGGACCTTGGAGGTCCCTTGTGGCTGGACTACAAATCTCCTCAAATTGCAATGAGTTTCAGTACCCAGAAGGACATGCTGTTCCTCACTTTCTTGCTGAAACCCTTACCTCCAGCTGTAGCATAGACTGCCTGTTGAGTTTTTTCTAGAGAAATATGCCTGTTCTGATATATTGTTGGGGGGAGAGAGAGGGACAGCATTGATTTGGATCATCAGAGGTGCATATTAGCACTGCGTTCCTATCATGCTGTATTGTTGGAGAGCACCATGGGAGTTGTTTTTATAACAGTGGTATGCTTACGAGTGAAGGACTCATCTCATGATTTGATAAACCAAGCTAGTGATTTCTTGAGCAGTTTTATAGCCCAAATGTAGCCTGAAGGTGCATCCTATGTTGGAGCTCTCTAGTTAGATGCTTTATGACAAACTTTCTGCACTTTCCCATTCCTGTGCACAAGCACAACTTGGAAGGAAGTTTTTCTTCATATCCCTTGTTCTTCCTGCTCATATTCTGCTTAAAATAGTGAGCTTCAGATATTTAGATGTGTCTGTGAGTAGGCAAGAGCAGCCTGACTTCTGGTTGCACCAATAACTAAGGTAATTGTTCTATGTGAGGTGATTTCCAAGAACTGAGCTTCCTTATACTAAGCACACTGGGAAAACACCAAGGGCTGAGTGTAGCAATGAGGACATCACTTTGTAAAAGCTTTGAGATGTAGCATCCTGATACAAACCCTGATGAAGATGCAGCTTGCTCTAAGCTGGCCAGAGAGAGGACATTAACTCAGCGCAGTGCTGCTTTCAGTTCTAGGTAATTTCTGGTTGAATTTTTGTTTTATGGTAAGTTACTGTACTGAAAATAAACCATTTGTTGCTTATGTTCAGAGTGTCTCTTTGAGCAGCACTGTCACAGATGAAGACTGCTGTAGATTTTTTTGTCTTTTTCAGGATGGTTAATGGGCTGCAGTTTCAGCCTTATTACTCTTGATATCTGGGTTGCACACAGTGGGGGAGAAGCATTTGCAAAGAGGTGATAAAAGAAACCAGTAAGAATGAAATTTGCCCCAAACCTCACCCAGGCCCTTTGAGCTCTTATGTGGAGACTCTCCTGCACAGAAGTGGTGGTTATTGCCTCTCCCAACATTGCTTGTCTTGTGTCACTTTGAACTCCCATCCAAAAAGTTTGGCAGGATGCTATTGATACTCATGGCTCAGAGGAAAACCTGCAAGCTATGTGAGGGAGGGAAGTGTGCGTGTTGTAGTCTTGACTTCTGTTTTGCTGTCAGTCTCTACTCCCAGCCTTTTCACCCAGATAGGATTTCTGGAGCGTGGACTGAAGAAAGGGAGGCAGCATGTAGAAGTGCCCTGGGAATGTGTGAATTCCAGTAACAGGGCTGGAGCAGGGGGAGGGATGGTCCCAAAGCTCTGTCAGCCTTTCATTCTTTACAAAAGAATGAAGAGAGAAATGAGATCCTAGGCACAATTTACTGGAGTGCTATTTCCCAAAATAATCTTGGCATGTAGCAAAATCTGTCTTGAAATACCTTCAATTTTCTTTAATTGATGGATGAACTTTGTGTCCTTCAGTTGTTACTTGGATATCCTAGACATTCACCTCTGGGCATGATGAGGACATGTGGATGAGCACAGTTAGAATGGACTAACTGTGGAATTATTATTTGGAAAATGATTCAGAATTAAGTATGCAAGATAGAAGATGTTTTATGGGTGTGTTACTTTGGTTTTGTTTGCTGAGGTCTACTTTGATGCAAACTGAGTCTGAGTCAGGGAGCCAGAGGTAAATGGCAAAGTTGTGGAGCAGCTACAAAAGCACAGCTCACATATCACACCCTTCTCTTGCATCCTGTGGCACAGGCAGCTGTCAAACTTGTTCTTCAGTAAAATGAACTGGTGCCAGATTTTCCCTAATGGGCATGGTGAAAGGCGGAACTGCTGAGGTAGCTAGTTGTCTCTAGGGAGAATAGAGGCTCCTTGAAACAGGAGGGAAGATACCAACAGGAAAAGTGCAGAAAAAAAGAGGGGCATGGAGCTTTCCAGGCCAGTGTAAAAGCTGGGGAGCACTGCCCTGCTAAATCCTGAGTTAAAGGGAGGGTAGGGTGTGGTGAGTGGTTTATGGCTGTGTTTGTCCCTGATAGGAAAACTGTTGGTGAGTCAATTGCACTGACTTCTGGTTCTCAAAGTGTAACAGAAAGAGAACTTAACTGTAACTGCTGGAGAGAATAGAATAATGCAGTATAGTTTTGAAAAGTAGAAGGCATTCCAGTCCCCCTACTTTGAAGTCTTAGACTTGGACAGCATTTCCAGCTTGAAGTGGGGAGGTGATCAATACAGAAGTAGCATTTTCAGCAGAAGGAAGCCCTTAAAGGGTTTTACACGAAGCTTTTAGTCCTAGGAGGGATTTCTTTCTCAGTTGTTTTTATTGATTCTCCTTTGATGGGGGATGGTGAGGCTTGCTAGCATTGGAAATCCTTCCCTCCTATTTGACTCTCTCCCAGCTCTCTGAGTTGAGTGATGTTTCAAAGAGGGGTTTTTTAGTGTGCATATGCACAATGTGATCTATCTGAATGGCAGGGGCCTGCAAGCTTTTCATGTATGAGCTGGGGACAGCACACATGAAACTTAAGTGTTTCCTTCCACAATAGGCTTGAAATGTAGCAGTGCTCTGAAATGTTTTTCCATGAACATCTGTGGAAAGTGTCTTGCTCAGATTCTTTCCATTCAAGGCAGAACTTGCTGGCTGCAAGCAGAGACGCCCTCTCTTCCTCTCTTCTTTCTCCACTTGCTGTTGCAGGGGGACATATTTATTCCGTTTGGTTAATGATCTGAAATGTTAGTGTAAGGCATTAGTTTGAAACTTCCTGAACTAAAGAAATGAAATGTGGATTTTGTCCACTGAATTGCATAAACTGAAAGTTAGGGTTGGAGGGTGTGGTGAGGAGGAGCCTGCTAGGTCATTAGTTTTCAAATACTGAATCAATGGCAGATTGTTCTCTGCTGGATATATTTTAAGACCAGAGTGGATCTTGTGAATCCTCTGGTATGACCTCATGAACAATATGGATTGCTAGACCAATTTTGTAAAACGAATGCTTTCTTTATGTCCAGTAGCTGTAAGAGAAATAAGCTTATTTGGGGGGCAGGGGAAGCTGTCCGGTAAGAAGGACTTAGTATTTTTCAGTGTCTTCTTGTTTTTCTAGTCTAAAACAGAGGTTCTGCCATCTTTTTCTTTTTTTTTTTTTTTTTTTTTTTTGGGTTGGCCAGCAATGCAAGGGACAAGAACAGCTGCCAGTGCTTGTCTTAATTTTCTCTTAATTTCCTTGCACTGTTTCTACTCCAGTGTATCCTCTCTTTTCCTGTGCTATTGGTTGATGCATGTGTACATAGCCTTTCTTTCAGCCTGGAACACACCTATCTTCTGTTCCTTGCTGTTCTTCTGAAGCCAGTGTATCAAGGCTACTTCCTGTGAAACTTGTGATCCTACCCACACACACTGAAATCTCACTTGTCTTCTGGTCATCTGGAGGCACTGCTCCAGTGGCAATGCCTTTGCACTGTAAGGATTGAGCTGCAGATGGGAGAGGCTCTTGTCTTTTCATGCTCCCCATCACCCTGGCCAGCAAAAGTGGGAGTCCAATAGCTTGGAACTTGCTTGAGATCAGAGTACTTTACTGTTGCAGGTCTGTACAGGTGTCTGTTTCAAATGGCTCCATCTGGCCTGCAGCTGCTTTTCAATGCTGAGATACCTGGCCTCTGTGAAATCCACCTGGTTTGTCCTGGCATCATAAACTCTTTGGCATTTGTTCTTGAATTTTCAAACCCTTTTACCATGAACTGGGCAACCCAGGTTATGCTTAGAATGTCATTGCCCACTACACACTCGCAGGGATTTCCCCAGAAGTGACTTATTTTCCTTTCCCTTGAGGGAAGCAGGGAGAAGGAAGCTTTTAATCTCATGTTGAATAGTATGTTATGAGAGAGAACCATTTGGAGCTTGACTGTGCTCTGTTGTTCCTCTGTACCATTGAGCAGAGTGCAGAAAGTTCTGGAGAGGCAAAAATAAAACGGAACTTAGAGGGAAGTGTCTCGATGAAATCTTCAACTCTGGATTACATCTACATGTGAGCTCATTGCACAGCAATGTGCTATCATTCACTTTGGAAGAAGCTGAGATAAACCAAGAGCTGCTGAAATGTGAGCTGAGTATTGATGTTAAATGTGCAATTAAAATGAAATGATGCCCTGCAATGACCCTGAGAGATACTCAGTTTCAAGAAAGGCAAATAGAAAGATTCTTAAAGGAAAGGAACCCTAATCACGGAAATGAATGAAGAGCAATGCAGCAGAAACTCTTTGGCAAGAAAGACTGGTATTTTCCAGCCGCTGTTAATGGGCAGGAACGTGCTCTGTCATTGTGTGCCTTTGTGCCTGTGTGCATTAATTTCTAGCTGGAAGTAAAAACCACAGACTTAACTACTGAGGGC